CCATATCTTCATCTCCAAGTTAGAAGAAAAAGAAAGAAATGGAAAGTAGAGAAAGAAAGAGAAGTAGAATGACAGAAGCTTTTTGAAAGACTTTGAATGTTCTCCCCATGGACCTGGCCCTTCTCAGGAAGAAGTAGCTTCTCCTGCTCCACGAGGTGCTCCTAGGAGAAGGAATTCATAGGATTCAGAGTTGGAAAGAGAATTCCTCTAATCCAACGCCTGCATTTTATGGCTCAGGAAACAGAGGTTCAGAAAGGTGACATTCCTTGTCCAAAGTTGCCCAAGTAGAAAGTACCAGCGCAAGAATTAGAATCCATGTCCCCTGGCCCTAAATCTAGTCTCTTGCCACTGTCCCAGTCCTGGTCACAGGAAGCCTAGATAAACTTCATGCCTGGTACAGCTGCAAATTAGATAGTGAAGCAACTAGGCAAAAACAGCAGGTCCTGTGACTGGCGTGTGGTGGAGAAGCCCCTTGAGAAGTAGGATGATAGATGCAGAGATGGAAGCAACCTTAGAAATCCCTTTATTTTAGAGATGAGGAGACTGAGGAGAGAACAAATGACATGACTTGTCCAAGATCATATAGATAAGTGACAGAGGCAGGATTTGAACTCAGGTTCTCTTACTCCAAAAAGGCAGCTAGATGGCTCAGTGGATAGAGCTCTGAGCCTGGTGTCAGGAAGATCTGAGTTCAAATCCAGCTTCAGACACTTATTAGCCGCTGGGCAAGTCCCTTAATCTCTGTTCACCTTAATCCACTGGAGAAGGAAATGGCAAACCACTCCAGTATTTTTGCCAAGAAAACCCCATGGATGGTATGGCTCACAGAGTCACCAAGAGTCAGACAGGGCTAAACAACTCAACAGCAACCTCTTACTCCAAAGCAAGCCCGTTCCCCACTGAACCTGGCTGCTGCTGGTTCCAGATCTAGCACTTTTCCCTCTGCTGTGTGCTCAAGCCTGTTGATTCCTACTTGCTTCTGTACAAATGACGCCTGACAAAAGGAACTTATAAAACATGCTAGGGATTATGAAATCCTAGGCAAGAAATCGAAGCCTTTATTGGCAGAAGTGGCATTTTCATTCTTACATCCAGTGGAAGGTAGACTTCTGAAAGAAAGGAGAATATGGGAAGTAAACAGTGGCTTAAAAAGGTAGTATTAGCAAATGGGACTTAGATGTCTGGTCCTGAGCTTTTGAACAGAAACAGTAGGCTCTTGGCCTGTGATGGCACGCTCCCAGTGAAAGCCAATAAAACATAGATTTAGGGTCGGACCAAGAAGACTTTAAATTGAGTGAAAATGAGGAAGAGGAAAAAACCTGGACACATATCTTCACGAAGTCAGAGATTAACAGGTACAAAATAGGAAGAATAATATCAGTGGACAGTATCAATAATTCATAAGACATAATGTTGAAGAAAAGAGGTAGTGTTAATACTCTGCCTCAGGTGTTTATATACACATGTAAGATCTTGGGGGGGAAAGGAGCAATCATTTCTTAATGTTAAAGCACCTGTGCTAAGTGCTTTACAGATATTATTTCATTTGATCCTCACAACAAACCTCACAGGTAGAAGCTATTATTATCTCCATTTTACAGATAGGGAAACTGAGGCCAGGAAAGGTTAAGTTACTTGCTCAGGGTCACAAAGCTAGTAAGTATCTGAGGCTGGATTTGAACATAGGTCATCCTGCTTCTAGGCCCAGCACTCTATCCACTGAGAAACCTTACTGCCTAGCTAGGTAAATTTAGTCTCCTGTGTATCATTAGAATTTAGTAGGATGTAGACAAGAAAATGGTTCTACTTTACTCAAAAGGGAAAGGCTAATAAAAGGGCTGGTAGAGTAGCAGTGTATATTAAAAAGATATACTGCTCCAAGAAAATAAATGAACCAAAGAGGGTAAGGGATAGTGGACAGCATTTAGGTTAGATTTAATGGAGGGAGAAACAGAAGCAATATCATGATGGGGAAGAATACTGTAGACCATCTGGACCAAAGGAAGAAATGGATGGTGAGTTCATTGTGGAGTACTTCAGCTGTCCAGACATCTGGTGGAGCTCTCTCTTTCTGTCAAAAGCAGAGGAGCTGGTACATTCTTGATTTTCTTTTATGATGACTTTATTATCCAAAGGATGGAAGATGTGACAAGGGGGATTGCCAGTCTGACCAAAAATGAGGAACTGATTGCTGGAGTTGAAATTTTGGGAACCTTGGTGGAAAATGACTATGCTATCTTATAATATTTAATAAATAAGGAAAGGAAAGAACAAGTCACACCAGACCAACCTTGTTTATTGTTCCAACAAAAGTATTAGATTAGGGAAATACCTGAATTTCAGCAAGGTATCTGACAGTGTTCCTAATCATATTCTTGTGAAAAGATTGGAAAGATGTGGGCTGGATGACAGTGTGTTTAAGTGAAATTGAGAATGGATGAATGGACCTTAAGGATAGTGATTAATGTAATTATGTCAGCCTGGAGGAAAGTTAAGCATATAATGTCTCAGGGATGTGGCAATGACCATATTCTGTTCCATGTTTTTTTGTCAGTGACTTGGATGAAATATAGATGGCCAGCCAACAAGAATGGACAATTAATTGGACAACAGAATCCAAAAAGATCACAGCAGGCTAGAATGATGAATCTAATTTAACAGGATAAATTACAGTAGGGATAAAGGTGGAAGAAGAGGTCCAGAGTTGGAAGGGAACTAGAAGGCAGCATGGTATAATAGAGTGCCAGCCTTAGATCTTCGGTTTAAATCCTGGCTCTGACATTGCAACAAATCACTTCATTTCTCTGAGATATAATTTCCTCATCTGAAGGGAAAATGGGAACCGTCACTGTAGTACCTGCACCTCAGGGTTGTTTTGAAACTCAAATGAAATCGTGTATAAAGCATTTTGCAAATTTTAAAGTACTCTATTGGAGTCAAGAAGACCCAAGTTCAAATGTGGTCTCAGACACATACTAGCTGTGTGACCCTGTGCAAGTCACTTCACCCTGTTTGCTTCTGTTTTCTCATTTGTAAAATGAGCTGGAGAAGAAAATGGCAAACTATTCCAGTATCTTTGCCAAGAAAACCCCAAATGGGGTCCCAAAAGTTGGACACAGTTGAAAGGACATGTTATTGTTGTTGTCGTTAATTACCCCTCTACAACGTTCTCTATCATTGGGTTAAAAAAATCAACCTCCTAAGTACAACATCGCAGTAGTGTAGGTAAACAACTGTTGGTGAGAAAAACATCTAGGGATTTTATTAGATTTTGAGCTCAACATGTCAGGCAAGAAATGCTCTGTGATCTTCAGGAGCATTAATAAAAGCTCGACGTCCAGGACGAAGGAGGTGACAGTTTTTATTGTACTCTGGAACAGTCAGACTTCATCTAGAGTATTGCCTGCTTTTCTGGGCACATTTTAGGAAGAACAAGAGAAATTGAAGAAAATCCATCAGACAGTGCCTGGGATGATAAAGGAATCCGAAACCATGACATCCAAGGACTGACTGAAGGAACTAGGAAAATTTCAACCAAGACTAGGGAAGGCTTAGAGGAGTCACCGCAGGGAGGGGTGCAGATGACGTCACGCGTGCACGTGACAGCAGCTGGCGGGAGGGGCACGAGGGGCGATGTTACTTTCACTCGCGCTGGTGCCAACTGTCCCGAGGTGCAGCTAGGGGCGTTGCAGAAGCCGACACGGAGGGATGCTGGGAGTCGTAGTTCAGCGGCTCCCAGCACGCCGGCGCAAGGCTTTTTCTTCTGCTTTGGTTGGTGAGTGCGGAGGGGCGGGCGCTGGAGCCCCCGGGGCTGCGGGCCGAGGCTGGGATCTTCTCTTTACACCCTGAAGGGGGCCCGGCTCTCTAGTTCCACCGGGCGCTGCCCGCCCCTCGCCTCCCTCTACCTCGGGGTCCTGGCGCCTCGCGTTTGGTGATTCTGGGGACGTGCAGAAAAGCTAGGCGGCGCCAACCCCGCGGGGTGTGGATGTTGGGCGGGAGCACCCGACTGGGAGGCAGAGGACCCAGATTTTCTGCTTCTGCCCCTTACCAGCATAGCAAGAGGCTTCTCTCTGGAGCTCAGTTTCCTTACCTGTGAAATGAAGGAAATGCCCCTAAGAATGATAGCCAAGCACTTTTTCAGCTCTAAATCTTGTGAACTTTGTGTACATACAAGTGTCTAAAATTAATAAGAGCTTACATTCATATGATTACCAAAGGCTCTTAAGTATATACACCGATGTTTATTTGCACACCTTGACACAAGTTAGTTTTTAAGTATCGTGCCTACTTACAGATAAGAAAAGTGAGGTTAGAGAAGTGACATCCAAAATCACACAGCAATAATAACTCCCACTTCTTGAGTGCATTAAAGTCTACAAAGAAAAAGCTTCCTTCACAACATCCTCGTGAGGTGTGGGTAGTACAAATCTTATCTACATTTTTACAGATGACTAATGGAGGTTCAAAGAGACCTTGCTTGCACATGGTCACACATGTAACATCAGATCTGGAATTTGAACCTAGGTCTCCTAAGAGTTCAAGCTCTTTCTGCTGTATTCTACTACTTACCGGTAGAACTAGGATTCCATTTTACTTCTCATTACAATTGTGCTACTTTGGAGCAAATTATGGGGACTTTGAACATAGTGCCTTGTGCTTCCAAGTGTGTCTTTCTGTTTCTGCCAGAGCCCTTTTTGTGTGCATGTCAGTGTGCATTTGTGTATTTGATATTATTCCGGGGGTCCTTTTAAAGCTTTATAACCATTCAATAACTGTAGCACCTCATGTTGTTTGTTCACAGTGTGAATATTGTACATGTTGGTCTTTGACCTTCTTCTGTAGGTTGCTAGTGTCAAAGCTGTGATTGAGGGTACTGGGGCCCTCCTACTGACACCAGCAGTGGGACCTAGAGGGGAAGGTCCATTTCAGACTCATAGAAGCCTGAACCACAGAGGGATGTATAGGTGTGATTGACCCTGAGTCCCCCAATCTTTCTATAGGAGTACACAGCTGAGCGTGAAGGTGGAGAAGGATATTCCAAGAGAGCAGAAATCGATCCTTGGAGAAAAAGTCTGATCCGAGGCCTCTCAAGCTAATATTTCAGGACAGAGACCAGATATTGACATCAAGAAGCAGACCCGGGAGTAGTTCCTGAGTATTCTACCTGGGAAGGTCAGGACTGAGTTAAGTCACCACATCTAGAGAACAGTGAGCAGGAGTTGACTATGAAGGATCTGATCAAAGGGCTGGAAGAGAAAGGTGAGAACTATCAAAGGATTGCTGGTGGGGAAATGTTTCCCCAAGGCAGGAGAAAGGCAAACTGACCTTTCTTCTGGAAGGTAGTGATGTGTGTAATATATGGGGAAATCTCCTTTGTGTGATCTCCTTGCAGGGTGATGCTATTTAGGCCCCTGTGTCCCATCCAAATCAGTCCTCTGCTTTTAGTTCTACTGTGTATAACAAGTAACTTCTGGAACAGCAGAGGGTAGATTATACTCCCCTGACTACTCCCTTGGAGGAAAGAGTTTATAAGTAGGTTGGAGCGATAGGCCAAAGACCCTGCTCTGTGAAATGTTCATCCCTCCAGATGTTCCTTCCATTTTGACTTTAATTCAGTATATCTGAGCATTTGGGCTTTTCACATATGTTATTGCATTAACTTGCTAGACAAGCCAATCCACATTTTTACATTAAGAGGCACAGGAAGCGACATAGGAAAGAAACAGTTAGGGATTAAATCAAGGTTTATTACAAGTATGAGCAGGAATAGGTGTCAACCAACAGCACCAGCAGCAGTGAGTGAGTGCAGGTCACTGCTAGCTCTGGAACAACAACTCAAATATCCATGTTACTCTGGGACCCAGGCTTTGGATTACTCTCCCATAAATAAACAAACAAAGAAACTAGGAATATGTACTGGTAGACTCTGACAGTGAGGACCATTTCCTAATGCTGTTGAACTCAAAGCCCCTACCCACTATATCACCCTTACAACTAGGTCTACATTCCAAAGAGATCAAAAAAAGAGGGAAAGCTTCCATGTGTACAAAAGTATTTTAGCAGCTCTATTTGTGTTGGCAAAGATCTGGAAATTAAGCAGGTGCCATCAGTTGGGAAATGGCTAAACCAATTATCACATATGGATGTAATGAAATACTGTTGTGCCGTAAGAAAATAATGATGGTTTCAGAAGTTACCTGGGAAAACCTTTGTGCATACCTCATACATAGTGAAGTGAGCAAAACCAAGAGAACAATTTATACAGAAACCACAACATTATACAGACAATATTAAAGACTTAAGAACTCTGATTAATGCAATGACCAACCTTATTCCAGGATACTGAAAATGAAGCATGCTACCCAAGTCCTGACACATAGCTGAGGGACTGAAGATCCAGAATGATCATACATGGATATGTGTGGATGGCCATGGACATGACCAAAGCAGGAATTTGCTTTTCTTGGCTATCCACATTTGTTTTAAGGCTTTGGGGTTTGTTTGTTTTTGGGAGGGGGGAGGTAGGAGGAGAGCTGAGGGAGAAGGTGGGTGAGAGAGTGAATTCTTGTTGAAAAAAAGTAAAATCAAATTCATATTAAAAAACAAAGACATGGACAAGAATTGCACGGGATGAGAAAAGACTTCAGTCTATTTGAGTGGAGGGTATGCCCACCCTGGAGCCATTTGAAGTAGTGAAGTATTATCAACAATTAGAAAGGTTGTGACAAGTGACTTTGTTTTCTTTGTGACTTTTTTCTTCTTTCCTCCAGGTTTGCCTTTGCAGGACTCCACTCTTCCACAAGTGGGAAGCACAGAGGAGGATATGGTTCCTGGGCTCCTGCTATCTAAGCTTCAGGTAGATTGGGATTTTCAGTTTGTTTCCTCAAGTCCATCTTATTTCAGAGAGTTTTTAAAATAGAAGTATCTTTTTGGGCTAGAATGGTCACAAAAAGCTTCAGTTGAATTAAAAAACCATTTGTTAAGTATCTACTACATAAAAGCACTGTACTGGTTACCGGGAAAGTTACAGAAATATAACTTCATGTCCTCTGGTGTGGTTATAACATATAAATTAGAATGTGGGTGAAATACATTCAGAACAAAAAGAGAGATGCAAACAAACTGTTAAAACGTAAAGTCCAAAGAAGGAAAGGTTATTTGGGATTTGATCTGGGTCTAAAGATAAGTAGGATTGCAACAGGGAGAGCAGGGAAAGAAAACATTCCAGGTACAAGGAACGGTAGGAGCAAAGCCAAGGCTGGAGAGAAACGTGGGCTGTGTATAGAAGAAAATCAAGTGTTCAGTTTGGCTGGAATATAGCAGGGGCTGATGTGAGATAAGGCTCTTGTAATGTAAGATCAGGTGAGGCCAGATTGTGGAGAGCTTTTCTTTTCTTTTCTTTTCTTTTCTTTTCTTTTCTTTTTTATTACTTAAACCAGACTTAGGAGTTTGGGCTTTTATTTGGTTGGCAGTAGGGGACTATTGATAGATTTTGAGCTGAGGCATGCCATGATTAGATTCGTGCACAAGGAAGAATCTTCTGGCAGCAGTGAAAAAGATGAATTGGTAGAATAGACCAACACTATTTAATGGTCTCAAATGGCAGTGATGGGGGCCTGTACTAGGATGCAGACAGTGTGAACAGAATCATAGGGTCATTTAGAGTTGGAAGGGAACAGAGGGTTCAATTTTTTTTTTTTCACAGATGAGGAAATTGAGGCACAGAAGGGTAAGTGACTTGCTCATAGTCATACAACTAGTTAGTATCTCGAAGAGTGAACTGTGCAAACATTGTGAAAGCATAGTTGGTAGAACTTAGCAACTGATTAGGTAAGAAGGGTTAGTGAGAGGGAGGGGTGAAAAGTAACAAAGGTTTTGAGAATGAGTGAATGGGTGAATTTTGTTACAATTGACAGAAATAGGGAAACTTGAAAGAATAGTAGATTTGAGAAAAAACATGTTCATTTTTGGACATTTTGAGTTTGTGATGATGGCAGTACAACAAAGTAAAGGTTCCTAGTAGGCAGTTCAAAATGTGAGTCGTTGTGGAATTTGGAAATGAAGGCCTAGGCCGGAGATACAGATTGGGGAGTCATCTGTGAAGAAACAAGTGAAGAAGGTAAAAGGGCTGAATACTGAGATTTGGGAGTACAGAGGAAGGAAGACAAGGCAGCTCACTTAGATAGCTTCATTATCTCAGGAAAATAGAAGTCCAGGTCATTTTTTAAGAGTGAAGTGAAGGTTTATTTGAGTTTGGGTGGCAGAGGAAATTAGAAAAAAATTTGGTATAATTACAATGGGAAATTTGACAGGGACTCAACAAGTGATAAATAAGTAGGTTTATTGAGAAATCCTAGCAGTAAGACTTCAGGTGAGAGATTAGATAGCATGAATTTGTAGGAGAGCCAATCAACATTGTTTTATGAAAGTATTCTGCTTGGCCGATGCAATCCACGTTGCTGCCAGATTGATTTTCCTAAAACACAAATCTGATCAGATGCCTCCCTCCAGAAACTCAAGTGGCTCTCTGTTCCCTCAAGGATAACATTCAAATTGGCTGGTTAAGGCATTTAAAGCCCTTCACAATCTAGTTCCAACCCACCTTGCCACACTGATTACATACCCTTTCAGTCATTCATTGCACATTTCAGCCAAAGTGACCTATCTGCAGGTTTTCAGATGCTATATTCCACATTCTGCCTCTGTGCACAAGCTGGCCACCATGCTTGGAGTGATCTACATCCTCACTTCTACCTCTTGGAACCTCTAGTCCCCTTCAGGGCTCAGCCAGGTGGGGAACATGTGGCCTCCATTGCCCTCTAGGTCCTCAGATTCGCTCTTTGAATCCAGATTCATGTGGCCTGAATTGTTGAAGAGGCTAGCCACAGGGTCTGCTGATGTCGGGGAGGCACCTGAGGGCCTGTGTTAGAGGAGACTTAGAATGAGCAGAAATTTGGGGCCTCAGGAAGCCTGAAACAGAGAGCTTGCATTGATGTGGCCTCATGACTTGAAGAGACCATGAAATGAGCCCATTCTCCTTGTCCCACCTCTGTGCAGTGAATGAACTCAATGCAGTTTGATTCATTTCAATTCAATACACATTAAGTGTCTGCTGTGTGCCAGGCACTGTGCTGGACTCTGGGGATGCAGAAAAGAAAAGAAAAGAAAAGAAAAGAAAAGAAAAGAAAAGAAAAGAAA